AACAGGGCTCACAGCCCCATAACACTAGCATGGCTCAGGGCGCTGTACCCGAACAGGGCTCACAGCCCCATAACACTAGCATGGCTCAGGGTGCTGTACCCGAACAGGGCTCACAGCCCCATAACACTAGCATGGCTCACGGCACTGTACCCTAACAGGGCTCACAGCCCCGTACACTAGCATGGCTCACGGCACTGTACCCTAACAGGGCTCACAGCCTTGTACACTAGCATGGCTCACGGCACTGTACTCTAACAGGGCTCACAGCCTTGTACACTAGCATGGCTCAGGGCACTGTACCCGAACAGGGCTCACAGCCCCATAACACTAGCATGGCTCATGGCACTGTACCCTAACAGGGCTCACAGACCCGTACACTAGCATGGCTCATGGCACTGTACCCTAAAAGGGCTCACAGCCCCATACACTAGCATGGCTTACGGCACTGTACCCTAACAGGGCTCACAGCCCCATAACACTAGCATGGCTCATGGCACTGTACCCTAACAGGGCTCACAGCCCCATAACACTAGCATGGCTCAGGGCACTGTACCCTAACAGGGCTCACAGCCCCATAACACTAGCATGGCTCAGGGCACTGTACCCTAACAGGGCTCACAGCCCCGTACACTAGCATGGCTCATGGCACTGTACCCTAACAGGGCTCACAGCCCTGTACACTAGCATGGCTCATGGCACTATACCCTGCCATAATCTCATTCCCTCACCCTGCCTTATTTTTCTTCACAGCACTTTATCATCGTTTTTGACTTAATTTAAATCTCTGACTATTGTCAATTTCTTCTACTCCACTTCTCCATTAGAGGAAGGTATCTTGTGGACTTTGTTTACTATTTTATCTGCAAAACCTAGAACAGTACCCAACATCCCTCACACTTACCGAATGGGGCATCTATTTCAATAAAGTAACAGAGTGAGCTTTTCATAGTCATAATACATGACTATGATGTGTCACATTTCATTGTCACTAAGTGCTGATTAGGCAGTCTGTGTCCAGTGAAGTATGCTGCTTTTTAATTTTGAAATTGAAGATTTGGATATAAATGATGAAAATTAACAAAATAGTGGGTTAGTTTTTAATCTTTGAATCTTATCTATATTCAAAGGTGCTAGAATTTGAAGAGGAAGCCTGTATAAATGATAGTTAATGAATCTTCATAAAGTTTCTAAAAAGAGGTCAGGACCTGAGAAGCAGGCTCACCTGAAATAGTCGGATGACATCTCATGTTCACTGTAACATGCGCTGAGTGCTGCTCGTGTAACAAGGTTCCTTCATGAGCTGCTAAATTTAACTGCACAAACTATACCAGTTAGCTCCAGGCTGAGTGTGAATTCTTGACTCTGGAAGGTTTCAGTGTGTCCTTACTGCTGTAGGAGTTGTATGCGAGCCGTACTGAAACTTATCACCTAAAGCTCTGAACGAAATGCTGCTGTTCATTTAGCCACAGAGAGACAAACTCCTCCCTCCATGACAGCGGTAGGGACTCTGAGGAATGGATGGACTGATGCTTCCCACTGCTTCTGTGAGGCCAGTGACCACCAGCCTGGCTGTCCCTGTGGAAGAGTTTGTCACTCCCATTGGTTGCCAGAAGCCGAGGCTCAGTGGGAATCTCATCTTGAGGAGCCTGTGGTGGCTACAAGAGTGTGAGAGGAGGCATTAATGCCTGTGATGTGTCTGTAATTTTCATTTGCCTGCAGGTTAATTAGTGTCTTTCAAAACAGTGGAAGTTATTTAAATCCTCCTGACAACCAATTATTAAAATAAGAGAGTCATTTTTGTATGAATTGTCTGTAGAATTTTATAATGTTAGACCTGGAAATTATTAGGTCAGACTTATTTATTTTTTGGGCCGAGACACAGATGTCCAGAGATTAAGTAATTTTATTTAGCATTATACAGTAGGCTGGTGAAAAAGCCATGACCCCTGACTCCCAGGTCAGTGCCCTGTCTTCTGGGTCACCTTGTTCCTTACCGTGTGTAAGATCTACATGTGTAAGATGGTGTCGCTTTGAGCAGGCCTGTGGAACTGTGTAATACTGTGTAAAACTGTAATACTGGCTGCTGTGTGATGCAGTGATCAATTTTGAGTTCCTGTTTAGTATGTGCTGGGTATTGTGTTGAGCCCTGAGAATAAATGAACAAAACATACAACGTCCCTCAGGGAGATGAATCCTAGTAAGAGAAATAGGAAAATGGAGCAGCAGAGTGCCAGGAAGTATGAGGGTGCCATGGTGGCCCCAAGCAGGTCCACATTAGTCAGCTTGGGTCCTGCTCTGTGCAGATAAGTTTCAGCTGAGTCCTATGGAGAATAGGACGCTAAGACTGTGGTTTGAGACGATGGTGAAGCATTTCTTTTCAAAATCTACCTTCTCCGAATTGTTCTGTGAAGTTTTCCTTTAATCCTGTTCTTACTGGGTATGGCAGCATTGCTTTACCCCGATGTGGACAGTCTCTGTTGTTGCTTGCTCCCTTTAATTATGAAGTTTCTTAGAAAGTTTAAGCGATAACAGACGATGAGGCAGAAAGTTGATGTATGCATGTTTTCAGAACCATCAAACTAAGGGAAGTCGTGTTCTCTGTGTCCTTTTTCTTTCTGTAGCTGGTTCAGCAGTGGCCTCAAATGCAGAGATCTGTCACAAAGAATACCGAGGAAGAAGAAGATGCTGGTGGTGGTATCAACTTAGATCAAGCAAAAGAAAGACTTCAGGAAGAGGACAAATTTGACAAAGAAGAATACAGGAAGAAAATCAAGGCCAAACATCGGGTAAGTTTTCATCTTGAATGAAATGTAATGTGCCTGAACATATCTGAATGATCCCTAGCTATTCCTGGAGACTTCATTCATTGTTTTCTCTGACGCTTTTCCCCCCTACAGCTGTTTTGTCTGTTTGTCTGTTGTATTTGGCCTTTCACCAGCTGGCTTTGTGTACTGACTAGTTTCTGAGAATGTTACCTGGATTTGCTTTGAATCTGAGGTGACCCAAGTAATATTAGCAGATTTTTTATAGTTACAAACTTTTTTGGATGTTTTAAAAAACATAATTGAAATTTTACTTGTAATTGTAAGCGATCCTGTGATCTGGTCCATTTCTGTACTTTTGACATTACCAGACTGCTAAAGGGTGTCCATAAAGATCATACAGATTGTGTGCAATTTAAAACTAGAAACCATTTTCTATTTTTGTTGCACATGAGCAAATGTTGGATTCCAGTTGTGCACTTCAGCACTGAGCAGGTTCTACAGTGGACACCAAGCAAGGTTGGTTCCACCATTTCCCTGTTGGAGAAGATTGGCATTATTTTCAGATTCAACTTGATAGTTAAATTTCTTTTCCTAGCAATTACTTGTTTATAAGTATAAGATTAAATGTATTATAGTTAAAAAATGAAACTTTGTTAGAGAAGTTACTTCTTTCCTTTTTTGTTTGGGATTCATTGAGGGTACAGAGAATTAGGTTACATTGATTGCATTTGTTAGAGAAAGTCCATCTTATAATTGTGTCCTGCTAAGAGGTGTGTCACACCCCATGACCCATCCCCTTTCCTCCTCCCCTCTCCCTTATCCCCCTAGAGGGGTACTTCTACACAAATAAGCGTGTGCCCTGGTGGCCTTAAACTTGGCGGTTTTCTATTATCCTTGATACAGTGGTCATATCTGATATCATAGTGTGACACTACTTCAGTCTCTAAAAGCAGACACTTCACTAGATAAAAGAATCAATTAATGAAATAAAGAACACCTGCATTTTTAAAGAACTTTCTTCAGCTTGCCTTTGAGATAGTAATTTGCACAATATCATACTTGAAAATCACTGCCATAGTATCAAGTTCTATATTAAGAACCTTTTAAGCCTTTGGGTATGGACATTAACTGCGTCCTGAGAAGTATTCTTTTTGTTTTTCACTCCTGTTTGACCTTTTCATGGACCAGTACACTCTTTTTCTTTTCTGCAGCAATTCTCATATCTTTAAGATTTGATAGAGCTTCACTGCAGCGTTTGATGAACAAGAAAAAGTAGATAGTGAAGATAGCTTCAGGGATGGAGATGAATGTTGCAGAAAACATTCCAGAGATGTGGAGAATAAATGAACCTAAAATATAGTGGTTGCCATTGTTGGATATTTATGTTAATGAGAGAACTAAATATTTCTTGCACTGCTGCTTTTAGTACAGTACTTAAATTGAAATTTGACATTAAAAATTTGTTAAATTCTTTTAAGAATGTCAGCAGCTTGTCATGTTTCAGCTTAAAATCTACTTTAGAGTATTTATCCAGGGGAAGATTGAGCATAAAAATGTTTTTTCTCTTTTATTATTTCTAAGTTGTAGCCAGCAATGAAAGAAACAGGGAGTATTTTTGTAAAATGAAAATTTCTTTTCTTTTCCCTTCTCTTTTCCTTCATGTGGAAGCTATTACTGTATCCAGACTATAGAATATTGTTTCTGAAACTGTTAAAAAGCTAATTTCATACAGGCTAATTGTGTATGTTATTACAGTATATGTGTGTGAGGCTGTGCCCTAAACCCTGAAGTATTTAAAATACACGGGACCTGCTGGGCATGATGCCTGATGCCTGTAATCCCACCTAGTTGGGAAACTAAGGTAGGAGGATCACTAGAGGTCAGGAGTTCAAGGCTGTAGTGGACTAGGATCACATCTGTGCATAACCATTGCACTCCATCCTGGCAACATAGCGAAACTCTGTCTCTTTAAAAAACAAACAACGAACGTCCATTGGTCTCTCCTCCTTAGGAAGATGCCTTGCATATGCTATCACTGCAGATAAACTGTTTGTACCTCTGTTTTTTTCTTATTAATATTTTTGAATGAACAATATACTCACATGGTTCTAAAATCAAGCTAATAAAAATACACATTGAGAATTCCTGCTTCTGCCGGGGTCTGTCTTACTCATTCCTCCACCCACAGCCAATTGCTTTTATATTTGAGTGCACCCTTTCACTTGCTTCATGCAGACGGGAGAAAGTAGGAATCATACTATTCTCTCCTTTTCTTACATGAAAAGGAGATTATTCTATACTTGTGTGTTTCCACTTATTTTTGGTGTTTTAAATCTATAGTACCAATCAGTGGTCTGTTAGGAACTGGACAGCACAGTGGGAGGTGAGTGTCCAGTGAAGCTTCATCTGTATTCACAGCCTCCCCCATCGCTGGCATCACCACCTGAGCTCTGCCTCCTGTCCTCCCCTACCCCACCCGACCCCAACCTGTGCAAAAATTGTCTTCTGTGAAACCAGTACCTAGTGCCAAAAAGATTGGGGACTGTTGTTTAAATCATTTCCTTTCTTACCATTGTTAAAATAGAGCATATGATTTTTATTTATTTTTATTTTTTGAGACTGTCTCACTTTTGCCCTCAGAAGAGAATCCTGGCATCACAGCTCACAGCAACCTCAAACTCCTGGGCTCAAGCAATTCTCTTGCCTCAGCCTCCTGAGTAGCTAGGACTCCAGGCACCTGCCACAATACCCAGCTATTTAAAAACGGGGTCTTGTTCTGGCTCAGGCTGCTCTCCAACCTGTGATCTCAGGCAATCCACCCACCTGGACCTCCCAGAATGCTAGTATTACAAGCATGAGCCACCATGCCAGGCTAGGCATATGATTCTTTTTTTTCTTTTCTTTTTTTGAGACAGAGTCTCACTATGCCTCCCTTGGTAGGATGCGGTGGCGTCACAGCTCACAGCAACTTTAAACTCTTGGGCTCAAGTGATTCTTTTGCCTCAGCCTCCTAAGTAGTTGGGACTACAGGCGCCTGCCACAATGCCTGGCTATTTTCTCTTGTTGCTGTTGCTGTTGTCGTTGTTGTTTAGCAGGCGGGGCTGAATTCATACTCGTCAGTCTCAGTGTATGTGGCTGGTGTCCTAACCACAGCACGGGTGCTGAGCCTAAGCATTTGATTTTAAAACTGTTCCCATGACTATGTTACAGCAGTGTTAAACAGATAAGTTTTGGACTAACAAATTGAAGTTAGTACCTCTGTGACTAAGAGTTAAAGTCTTTTAAAAATTACTAACAACTTCCTTTTTATGTAAAATAGGCGAATTCTGCACAAGGCAGCCTGTGGCCTACCTTCCAGATAGTTGAAGATGTTACATAGTCTGAAGAAAAGCACAAGGAAATAACTGGAATAGTTCTCTCTATTCAAATTCAGTGCAGATGCTACCTGATACTTAACCTGAGTGGGTTCATAGTAGTTTCATCAGGAAAATTGTTATTTACACACACATACATTTGTGTGTCTTAGAGAACATGCTACATTTGTGAGCACTTTGGAATTAGTTTATTATAATAGCATAAGACACAGCACAGGTGTTGAGATCAGTTACGCACCAAGTGTCCTGGAGTAGATTTCTGCCCAGAAGATAGGAGACATTTTCTATAATGGCAAGTTGCTGAAGCCCTTGTGTGTGGGAAGACTACTGGGCTAAGTGTGGCATCAGTCTAGTTGGGGCTACCAGCCAGCAGTTTGGAGTGTACTCTCTAATCTGACAACTGAGGAAGTAGGAATGGGGGTTAATCCCAGAGGATGACTGAGATCCATTGATTCTGTGGATTTAAATAAGACCTGAGTAAAATTATCCAGTACTGTCTGGAAAACAAAAGTTTAATTTGTAATTTTTTTCTCCCTGACAAAGCAGCTGCTTAGTCTGGTTGATGGAAAGACTTACTGCTTGTTCACTTATTTCCATTAGTTATTAAAATCTTACTTAAAAACAAAAACATTAATTCTGTGTAGGTTATTTTCCTTTATTTTTTTTATCTGAATATATTGGTTTTGAAGTCGTATTTTTCCTGATTGTGTATATTAATAATAATGACAATTGTTCTAGCATAAGATTTTGCCTTGGGCAAATATAATTATGTTTTCCCTTGAGGCTGTCACTCGTAATTTTATTACTTCTATGAAAGTAAATTGAGAAGAATATATTATGTACCCAAAGAATATTGAAAATACTAACTCTGGGGTCTTGGGGTAAGCTTTACTTCAGGAAGACAGAAAGAGGTGAAATTTTTGACACAAAATTCTGAATAAGGGATGCGCCTGAAAGAATTTTCCTTGTGGAAAGAAAAGTCCAATAAAACCGTCTGTATTTGATACTTATTTTTTAAATGTACATCAATTTTAGAAGGTTTCATAAGCTTTGGAATTTTATTTCCAGCATATTCAAAATACTGTATTTTTGGTTTGAAAGGATTTGATATTTAATACGTAAGTGAATTTAGTCTTAATGATTCTATTTGAAAGTAGGTGTTTGTTCCTGCTTTTGAAAGTTAACAGCCTTGAGCCGCAGCTTTGCTGTGACTCAGTCTTTGCAGTGTGGGACTCACGGGCTCATTTGGTCCCCCACTTGTTTTTCCTCCGTGCTGTTAACACCTGTCTTTGATGCATATTTTCATCAACCAGATTTTGAAAGCTGTATAATTTCTTCTATGATTCAAGTAAATAGCTATAGCTTTGTTTTAAAGATTCATAAAACTGAGGTAGAAATATTTTTAATGTATTTTTTTATTTTCAAGTTTCACGTTACTTTTAACTGACCAATAATAGTCATGTATTTATGGGGTATGATGTGGTGTGTCAATACATCACTGTGCTGTGATATGCAGGGAGATCATCAGAACTTACCTCTGTCTAACTGGAACTTTGTAACCTCTGACCAACATCCCCCCTCCCGTTCTCACCATGCTGCTTTCCTACACGTGGGAAAGTTCTACTTCTGTTCTACTCTGAGTTCTCA